TTTTTGAAAATTCCAAACATTTTTTAACAAAGCAAGAACAAAAATTTGAACGGATCATTTCCTGAAATGCACATACATTTCTTAAAGACATGAACCTTCTTATAAAAATACGAACATTTTTTAAGTTATGATTTTTTTAAATGGGAACATGTTTTAGAAAAGCAGAAGAATTTTAGAAAATGTGTTTCTTTAATGCAAACTTTATTTTCAATTTTTAAACATATCGTTAAAACAAGAATATTTTTCAAATTTGAAAAAAAAAATGCATTTGTTTAGATGTTGAACAATTTTGAAAAATACAAACATTTCTTGAAAAATGGGAATATTTTTGTAATTTATATTTGAATAAATTTTGGCACGACAAAAAAATCCCAACATTTTGCAGAGTAGGAACACATTTTTGTAATTTGTATTTTTTTATGAAATTTTGAATAAAAATTGAAAAATTACAATTGCGAACATTTTTATAAAATTTTGACTTTTTGAGAAAATGAATAAAATAGACTTGCAATAGGAACACATAAAAATGAACTGCCGAGTCTTGGGTGCCCTGTGCGTAGTTTAAATTAGTTTCCGCATTGAGCGGGAAATAGAATTTTTTTTTTAATTGCTGCGTGGGCAGGAAAATATGGGCTGACTTCACTGGGCCATAGGGCGCGCAGCCCATGTACGAAATTCTGCATAAATCGTTTTTCCTTTGCCAACAGATGGAGTACGAAAGTTTAGTACCACCTCGAATATAGGGGGAAATGATTTTTTGGCGATGAACGGATGAAAAAATCGAAGAAACGCACCTTGTTTTATTAGTAGGTATAGAATGCAGTGCGGTCACAACAACTTTGGTTCACTGGCCAGTCAGTGTATATGAACCATGACAACAATTTCAGTACAACCTCACTTACTGACCCGATGAAGAGTAGATGTGAGGTATATAAAGTGTGTCTGGGCATGCATGTATGGTTGTTTGCTCAAGGAATATAAATATTTTTTTACTTTGATTAATTTGGTTAACTGTTTGATTTTTGGTATATACAAAAAACAAATTTCAAAACGGTAAGGAAATTTCATACCATGTTGAAAACCGGAAACCATAAAAACCGTAAAATCGGTTTGATCAGTTTATTTTTGGTAATGATTTTTTGGTTCGGTTTTAAAATACACAAATTGAGAAAAACCACAATGACGATGAATTGGACAAAGATTATGAAGTTCTTCGGCCCACTTAACCCGATTTGACCTACACCCTTGCCTACTCCATGAATGATCTTCTATTTGCTGGTGAACTTGGAGTAATCATCCTGTACATCCTCTTAGTCTGAAACCCTATATAGTAGCTGTTTTGTAACCATTCATATGTTCATGGCATGCCTGTCGTGAATCGTAGACTCCTGGAGCCCTCCATGAGTAAACCATGTACCACTTCATCTATTGAGACAGAAGAACAAGATTTAAACAAGCAGGATATATGAAATAGAAGCAAGATAAGCATGCATGATTCATATACCTAAAAGTATCACAAGCTCATCCTACTTACTATGGTGTCATCACCACATCAAAAAGATGGTGTAATCCTACCACAACAAGTTCATCATCTCAGGGGTTTGTATCTACCACCTCATCAAAATATACAGGCCATCAATAGTTTCAAGCCCTAGCTACCACAAAATGTAGAACATCATGCCACTACCCCAAAGACTCTTGCACTATACGTAGTAGTGCTTGCTCAGCCAGGTCCTAAAGCAAGATCGTCCAGTGCCGCACTTCCATGCCAACAAATCCAAGACCATGTGCCATGTTGCCTAGGAGGTGGCTAAGAATGACCATCAGAGCCTCCTCATTAAACCCAATGTTGCACATGACAACATTATAGAGGGAAGGGGGCACGTCGACAGGCTTGTTGTCCCTGATGGCGAATGCCACCTCCTTGACCGCCTCAATCATGCTACTATAGACACTCAGCTCCTTGTCCCTCAAGGCACACATCTTCCTCTCAAAAGTAGGGAGCATGATTAGCAGGCTTGTCAAGGTTATCAAGGATGATGGTCTCCGACTCCTGGGTGTCTAGGTACTCAATTGCGGGTGTATCGAGAGGCTCACTAGATCTCATGGCATGCTTGCCTGTAGTCTGACCCCAGGAGAAGATGGTCTGCACCCGAGAGTAGTTCTGGATGGGCTTGTTGAGGTACTCAACATCCTTGGGGTGATCCTAATAATGAAAGGCAACACTATTATTTTGTGATTGGTATGCTAGATCGAGTGAAACAAGTTATAGATTAGCTAACCGCGATGTGGCCTTGGTAGTGCTTCGCTTTCAATAGAATGGTGAAGGTATCCTAATCACATTGCGCACCGCTAAGGTCTCTAAGCTTTGACACTTGGATCCATCTCGCTCTCCACTTCCAAAAGATGGTTGTACACCTGTGTTGAGGTAACTCTGTGTCACAGAACTCAAAGACCATCTTGGCAACAATGTTCAGGTGCACCTCCTTGACGCCCTTATCAGAGTCCTCACTTCTCTCACGATGATATCAAACATCTTGTACATGACAAAGGTAGACATGTAAGGATCTCATTTCATTGCATTCCCCTTCATTAACCCCCTCAACCATGCCTTGGCAGACTTAATGGCCGCCTTAGTACCAGCCACATGTATCGCCACCACTAAAGGACGCATGCGAGGCCTCTCAAATACCTTTGCATCTTGAGCCAACGGCGACTATCCTCAACATAGGAGGCAAAGGTTTGTTTGGTGTCCGAAAAAATAAGGGCCTGACTATACTCTTCCTCGGTCATTGCCTACAATGGTTAGTAATATAACTAATCGAACAAGAACAATATATCTACCACGCTAGCATGGACTGGTCATTGAGCTGAACACACTACTAAATCTACCATACTAACATAAACTGATCATGAATCTCAACACACTACCAAATCTATACCACACTAACATGCATAGGCCATGAAGCTCAACACACAACCAAATATACCATACTAGCATGAAAGCCGACTTCGAAAACATGTAATACTAGCACATAAACATTGATATAACACAACACAATGAAATCATCACTGCCAACAAGCAAAACCTATCATAAACCAAAATGACACCGCTGCCAACTGATCTACCACATCCTCACACAACATTAATGAAGAAATACTTGCATAACTTACCCTACTACTAGCACATCTACTCTAATTTAGCACATGCTCATAGATCTAGGCTACAACAAGTAGGGTGTGATGTTACTTACCACAATTGGAGGAGCAGGGAGGAGGCATTGAACAACTCGAAGAAGAGGAGGAGGAAGCGTTTTCGCCGGCCTAAGAAGATGGCGCCGCTTACCTACTTGTCGGGGGAGGAAGCTTCCTAGGGCGGAGAGCTCAAATGGGGGCAAGGGGGATGGTGGCGTAGGTTAAGGCGGTGAGCCGAAGGGGGGAGGGGGTAACCAGGCGGAGGCAATTGGCGAGAGGTGACGAAATTACTCCCACCAATTTATTGGGGACGCGCGCGAGCTCGCGCCATCTCTATGCTCGCACAAGTTTGACGCCGCGTTCCCCTCCATGCACATGGAGAACTTGGCTCCCTGCCGATTCGGGGGTTTCTCCAGGGCTGGCGAGCGGTGCTTTGAGGTTCGTGCGGGCCAAAATTTCAATGCAACCCAGCTAACTAAATGGGCGAATTTGGTCTCCCGGAGGCTGCATGGGGGGATGCGAGCAACCAACCACGTCCTTGATGTAACTTTTGATTGTATCAGAGTTCAGAGATCTTTCTTGTCCGTGTGTGGTTCAGTCTCTCCGATGTGATGCAATGTATCTACCTAGTGAAAAGGTCGTATGGTATAGGAAAAGTTGCTCTATCCCAGTAGCTTCTTCCAACAGGGATCAGAACTAGGAAGATGAGCAATGATATATTGGAACGCATGCTCTTCAGGAAGCTGTCCCGCTCTGTAAATGACATCTGGAATCCTTTCACTTGGATCCAATCCAATCTGAAGATGAATTTATCTCAAGACTGCAGCAGGTCTGAAGCCTCCAGGTGTTGATGTCTGGTGCCAATACAGTTGATCCATTTTCCTTCTTCTCTTTCGTCGTCGTCTGAATGTTGATGTCTGCCGTGGATGATACAAGCAGTGTAACCAGCAGAGATAGAAAATATATTGGATTACATCACAATGTAAAGCCAAAAAAAAGGGCACCAAGTTCTGACTCAAACAGGTTCTCAAGCCATTCCTGGAAAATATATTGGATTATCATACAGGTTCAGACACAAAAGGGTAACCAACAGAGATAGAAAGAATCGCAAATAAACCAATCACAGAAACTAATTAAACGGTTGTATTCATCCCTGTATATTGCCAACTGATCAATCCAGTGGCACCAGCACTATGTACTGTGCCAACAGAAGAAAGAATGCACAAGTATCTCTGCTTCATTACTGTATTGGTGGGTAGGCAGCAGCCCCAACTCAACATTAACCTAGCAAAATCTGTTGAATTTCTGCATGTGAGATCTATAGGCTTGTATTGCCATCAGCAGCAGAACAACTCAACTTAACCCAGCCTTGTTTAAGTGACTAATATAAATGAGAAAACTAGGATATTTTCATCATCCACATTGCTGCAAACAAAACGGCAAGCCACCAAAGAGACATGTCCAAACAAGAGCAATATTTGTGTCTTCCAGAACATACAAAAAAGACCAGCCGATATCATGCCCATGTTCAAATTTCAAAAACACGATTAAGAAGTTCGAATGCGATCACAGAACATTCACTCGTATACCAGCCAACAGAAGAAGAATGCAAAAGTATATGCTATGCCTACCCCAACTTCATCGGTGGATCTATCTACAACTAAACTCAGCAACACTCTCTCATTCAACGGCAGCAGCCCAACACAACTTTAATCCGGAGGAATCTGTTGACTTGAACTCTGATCAGCAGGATGTTCTCTCTAGGAAGTCTGTTGAATTGAACTCTGATCACCAGGATGTTCTATCTAGGAAGCCTGATGACTTGAACTCTCGGAAGGAGGAGCGCGTGGGTAGATGATGTCGTAGTGATTACCATTGTACAGCAGGGTCACAGCCGGACGGGGAACTCCAGGACTAGTGTAGATATCTCGAGCATATCCTCCTTGGAATGTTTCCACTATGAGGGTTACGTCAAGCGCGCTGGCCAAGGCCCTCATCATAAGACCTTCCGATTCCACACGAGCTGGAGTGACGTACAGAAAGCACCACTGTTTGTGCAACAAGAAGTCAGGTAAAATGAGTGCCGTGTATCCAACAATGGATGCACTGGAAATTCAGCACGAGTTAATGTAAGGAAAGGGATGCTGATACTGACAACTTTCAGACTGTAAACTCCACTGGCGACATCTGGTATATGCGGTACATACTCTGCACTGTGCGAGCATATCTGGATAGCTACTAGTAATCTGAGGAAAGCAAAAACTAACCAATAAAATGTGTCAGAAACATGAATTACGATGAACAGAACGAAATGTAAGTTCAAGGGTGTTTTTTCTCACTGTCTTGCGTCTTATCATATGTGCTGAAGAACTTGAGAAGTTCCTCTTTACGGCAACTAAAAATGGCACATATTATGTCAGTGAGATAGAATGCATTCATCTATAATACTTTGATGGAATTGCAGAAAACCAAGAGAATCAAAAACCTGCTAGTTGATTCCGTGTTCTTCCATCTCTTTACTTTCTCAAGCAGCTTCTTAAATGCCTGAAAGAATCAGCGACTCAATTATTCACAGTTGAAGATCATACCACTACAAATAATACATACAGAATACTGGCCAATAGCAGCATATTAAAGAACACAGCTAAGACAACTCCCTGAGAAGCTTCAGTCATTGCACATATACTATAACATAGTAACAGAACAGTGAGGTGGCTGTACAATAATAACCAGAAGGTGTGCATTGTTGCAGTGCTCAAACAAGCATAAAATTATGTTATTTCCCCATTATATTGCGGTTCTTCCTTTGCAAGTAAATTTCTCTTAAGGCCGTTGTTACAATCAGGTTGTTAACTTCACAATAAGCTTCAAATTTGAGTTTGTGCCAACATTGTCTAAAACTGTGACGACATGCCACTACTGTTAAGCAATTGTGCATCTCCTGCAAATGACAAACAAAGAGAGTGAGATGCCAGATGCTGCTTGAAGTGTACTTTGTAACCTGAAGAGAATCATCATCCCTTGCAATTGCAAACATGTTTATCCAAGAAAGAACAAATATGGAGAAGGCGAGAACTTACTCTGCTGCTCCTGGGAAACTTAGAGTTCCATCGAAGATCTGCATGTCGTGCAGATGCTGTTTCAACAACATCAAGGAGACGGCGTTCCTCATCTGTGTCCGGCCTATCAATAACTTGCTCCTGTTGTACATTCGCATAAACAGAGAAAGTTAACTAACTAAACCTACATCATATGCTAAGAAAAAGAGAGGAGGGCAATTACTAGGTAGGAAAATATGAAGCTCCTGTAGAAACACTCCCCATCTCCAATCACCGGTCTAAATTCTGAATAGCCATCAAGACTGTTCATCCCATTAGAAGAAACCATATAACGATTCCTTACTTCGGAGATGGGTTGTGTCTGCAACAACCACACAAATACGAGAATTCAAATTACAGAGTAGAACATGGAAAGAACATATCTAAAAATGTGATGGGAAGTTTGTTTTTATTCCAATTTTTGGTTTTTGAAACCACTATCATATATAATCCCATCACCAATATTGATCTATTGCTGTTCAGTAAGAAAAGAAGAACATATATGTTATTGTCTGATAAACTCAACAACAGTACAAGTACGATTCAGCTTCCATCAAACTATCACAACCAAGAGTTAACATACAATTTTATCCATAAAAGAGAAAATAATCCTTCTGAACAGTTCATCGTATGGAACCATGAATCAAAGTATCTTGTGATCTAGGACATCATCCTGTAATTTCACGCACTTCAAATTTGAACATCACATTAGGCAAAATGGAGACAAACCTGGTGCTGGACATGTTCCGAACATATTTGCCTTCCTTCTCTACAAAAAATCTATTTGACAAGAAATGAAGAAAACGAAGTTAAAGTCCATACATCCTGCCAGTCTTACAATTGTACAAAATCAACAAGAAGCCGAGCATTTTCCTTTTCCCAGTAAAAAAACAAGAATGTAGGAAGACCACAAACGTTCAAGTCCAAAGCTCTTTATTTTCGACAACTATTAAATGAAATTATATTCTGAGGTTTCTGAAAGAGTTCGAGGTACCAATCAACCAAATGGCGAAACTTCTCAACCAAATCCTGAAGTGGTCAGAGATTTTGCATGTAAATGACAAACGATTTACAGAAATTATGTTTGGTTATGCAGTCTTGAACTAATGTCTAGACTAAATCTTCTGATAGCAATATTTGTTTACGAAGGAAGATTGCACATTCAACTTCAGGCTGTTACGGAAATATTGCAGTAATCAGGACATGACCTCCAGATTTCCAGAAATTTTACAGACAGCAATTTCAACAAAATAGCCATCCGCTTCAAAATACGATGCCAGATTTCGGAAAGACCTACAAGCAACAACGACGTGTGTACTGCCGCCAACATTTGCCCTAGATTCCTCCTCTACTCTAGGACGCCACATGATGCTCAAACTAAGATTTCTTGCCTTGATTAAACTAACAGGTCCAGAATTAACATGAAACAAACAGAAATCAAGAATCCCAATTCCAGTTTCTATGCACATAAAATAGGTAAGTACAAGAATGATCATATGGTCATACCACCCAAGAATCACAAGTGCGAAGATTAAATAAGATTCAGGTCATACCTTGTTCTTGAGCCAGCTCCAGGGTGATTTCCCCTTTTCAGGCCTGGGTCTCACCTTGACTTGTTGTAGTTTCTCCTACTCCACAGAGTTAGCATCAGGATTCACACATTTTGTACTATTAGCAAGGTGAAAGGACTAACATGATTGAAAAATGGGGAGGTGTCCAAATCCTCTATACTCTTGCCGATTTTTATATGAACAAAATTTCGACTTCCGAGGCTTCGTTGTCAGATTCAAACTTTCAGGTAACAGATGGCGAAAGGCCCAAACTTCTCGACCAAACTCCAGGGTGGAGTAAGAGATCAAACACTTTTGCATAAAAGTGGCCGAGGATCTAGATAATGTACATCAAGTTAAGTAATCCAGTGCAAGCATTCAGATTAACTTCTCCTATAATACGATTCATTTATACCGAAAACTGATTCAATTTGGCTTCAGGATTTCTTGCCAAAGTATCGCAGCAACCACTGCCACAACATGATCCTCAAATCTCCCCACATTTTCCACTTGCAGCAAAATATGTCATCACACTGAATAGAAGAATCAACAAGCACAAGACTGGACACCTAAATCTTGAACAGTTTCGAATATTCACAACAAGATCCTCGTCCATCTCTAAATTCATACTGCACTGCAAGAAGCACCCCGAGTTATAATCATGAAATACCTAATCAAACTGTCCCCAACATTTGCCCAAGATTGCGCCTGTATTACTCTAAATCATCCCCAAGATTTCAACAAACTTAAGAGATCACGGTTCCACACCCCGAACAAGAAAATGGTCACAGTTCCATACTCCAAATCACAAGCGAGCAAGCAAGAAGACCAGATTCAGGCTATACCTTTTCCTTTCCCGGGAGTGCGTCTTTGGCGTGCGGCGATTCCACCTGCTCGAGAAGAAACCAAGAAACGTTGAAGAACGCACTCCAGCAACTCCAAGAAACAACATCGCGAACGCCCATCACCTGCTCCTCCTCGATGATAACCGACTGCCCCTCTCGTACCGCCTGCTGGAACACCCGCGTGTAGTCGAACGGCAGCGTCGCGTCCCTCGGCACCACCATCCTCCTCCCCGCCGAGGAGCTTGACCCCCCGGCTCCGAAGTCGGGGATGCTGCCCGCGGAGCTTGGGGGAAAAGGTGCCGGAAAGGGAACGGCGGCCAGCCTGCCCTTCCTTTCGACCCACGCCGCGGCGGAGCTCGACCCATCGGCGCCGGCGCCGGCGTAGTCCGCGGGGCTCGGAGGAGGAGGAATGTCCCTGGGCAGCAGCGTCTCCTTGCCCTTCCGCGGGTCCACCACCGTGGCGGAGGTCGACCCGTCGGCGCCGCCTCCGGCCTGGTCGAGGTGGAGGGGCGTCGCGCGGGGAGGTGGAGGTGGCGGCGCAGCAGCGGCCGGGGCCCCATCCCCATTGGAGGAGGCGTTGGAGTCGGGGTCCGGTTCTTGGATGCGGTCCTCCTCGACCGGTGGTTCTGAACCGGGTGCGGGCGGCTCCATCGCGGTCGCGGCGGGAGGGCTCGCGTGGCAATTCCGCTAACTCGCGGGGGGCGTGGAGAAGAAACGTGTGGAGGGTGCCGGATGGAAAAGGGGAGAAGCTTTGACGGCTATTTATTTGGAAAAAAACGAAAACCCTGATGGCGGTTTGGTCCTTGGGAGTTTTCTTTTCTGCAACCAACTCCACGTTGAACCACAATATCTTCTATATCTAAATAGCTAGCCCCCACTAATATATTTCTCTCAATATACAAGCATGTCATATCATCAAGCAACATGCATGACAAAAGGCCCATCACAACATGCATTCATACACAGGAAAATGTCCGCCTCAACATGCAAACATAAATGAGATATTTAATAAATATTTTACAATACATTAATCAAACACAATAAAGCATATGGATTTGCAATTTTAGTTGTAGTATTACTATTCACGTTCCATACAAATCAAATATCATCGAAATATAATGTAAATATTCCCGCAACGACGTGCGGGGTATCATCTAGTTAGTAGTAAAAATAAGGATAGGCACACACAGGTCCCAGGAAAAAAGTGCGTTAAAATAAGAAAAATAAATGTAGTTTCCACTTTTTGCGAGTGAAATGGGAATTTTATTTCAAAAGTGTAGAGTTACAATTAGCCGACAAAAGTTCAGCTATACATGGATGGCCTCTGCGAAGCCAACAAGCCGTACTATGATTAGTTCTACCATGGCCTTTGCGAAGCCAACAAGCCGTACTATGATTAGTTCTACCATGATTTGCCAAATGATCTACTACTCTATTCCGCTCCCTAGAAATTTTCATAGAATAAACTCTCTTCCTACCATCAGATCCTTAATCTCTAAGATAAGATGCTCATATGCCGATCGGTCCAACTCATTAGAAGTTAGAACAGACAATGCCGTCGTCGAATCCGATTGAACAACCACAGGAAGAGTAGTATGCTCGACAGACAGTGCCATCCCCTCCATTATCGCATGTAGCTCCGCCTCGAGAGCATCGTTGCAATGAAATAAGCGACGGTGTGCCGAGAAAATAACACTCCCATCCCAGTTACGAAGTATCATGCCTGACCCTGCTGACCCGACTTCTGCTAAAAAGGAGCCATCCACTGATAAAGCTACCTTGCCCGGCATTGGCGACGGCCATGGTTTTGTACGACGCTTTGGGTTTTTTAGTTGGTACCGTCAACCACTCCTCCTTCCCTATTTTTCCTTTCACAATCTCTTCTGTACTATACTTATTTGCCTGCTGAATTGATTTGAAATAACTGTCCAGAAACTCTATCGAGACCCCCATCGGAGTAGCTTCCTTACCATGTGTTAAATCTGTACGAACTTGCCACACTCGCCAGACCAACATAATTATCATATCCCGCACTTTGTCCGAACAATTTGCAAGTACGTTCAGCAGCCATTCTTCTCCATTGTCCAACAAGTACTCGTTCCCCGGCAAAGGCCAATAAATGTAGTTTCCATGACAGCATATTTTGTGGTAATGAATTTAGTGGCGAGTCACATGTAAATTCTATATATTACTTAAGCAGATGAATTTAGTGGCGAGTCACATGTAAATTCCTTTGTTTCCTACGTAACCAGCCTGTACCGAAGCATTTTTTTGTTAGATTAAAATCGGGTTGGCTGATGTTTGCATCCTTCACGGACGCAGACGTGCTACCGTGCATGGATGTGTTTGCTTCTCCTAGCCTACATGCACACATGAATAAACAAGCTAGCTCATCTGACTTTATATCTGAGTGTTGATGCTGAAATTTGAGCTGGGCTCTAGGCCCATATAATAATTTCTGAAAAATCTCTAAGGGCCCATGTGGGTTATATGGCACTAGGTGTAGTGGAAAGTTTAGTCCCACCCCGGAAGTGAAAGAGGAGTTGGACCTCCTTATAAGGATTTCTCTTCTACATGCTATTGGAGCTTGAGAAGAGAAGAGGCCCTCGTGCACTCCTCCTCCGTCGCCCGCCTCGCCGCGGATTGCGGGAGCCTGGAAGTTGCATAGATTGGACACCGAATTGGGTCCGATATCTTGAGGATGGAGTTGGAAACTGGCAAGCACATCTCGGAAAAATTCGACCCGGGCGGTTTTCAGTAAGTTCAGATGAGTTTGATATCAAGCAGATGCCTGAACAAGAAGAAATGAGTTTAAGCTACAAAAGGCGCCGAAAACAATCAGATCTAACTAGCCATTGGTGTTACTAAAGGAGGAACAACTTCAGGTTATGAAGAACACCAAACCCTAATGGCGGATCTGGTGTGAGGAGAAGAGGAACTTACTGTTGCAGGAAGAAGCAGCGGAGGGTCACCGCGTGTCTCTGGTAACGGTCAGGTTGATGCAACGGCCTTTGTCGAAGCAGAGGTGAAGCTCGGTGACGGCGGCGGCGCTCAGGAGTAGAGATGTCGCGAGGAGGAAGAAGAAGTGAAGGAGACGAAGGGGAAAAAGAAGAAGGACCTATGGTCCTATTTATAAGGCGAAGCGATAAAACGACAAGTGCGGGAATCGAGGAGCTCAAAAATGAGTTGTTAATAATAGTATCGCCTCGATGATTGGATATGCATTAATGAAAGTAATCTTCGGCTTCAACGAGTAGATGACGTCAGGGTGGTTTTTTATGATCCTGGAGTATGACGTCACGGCGGTTTACAAGATCAAGGTGAAAATGCAAAGGAAGAGTTTTTCTAAGTGTTGAAGATTGACATGAACAAGTTCAAATCAATCTGGAGCCTAATGTTGGGAATATTACTACTGGACGTAAACCGGCCAGGAGTAGCCAGATTAGCTCCATGAAGATTGAAGCCCATGAAGATGGCAAGATACTGGCGCTTTAAGAAAGCCCAATGCCCAAAGACGGATTAAAGCCTGTAGTTATGAACCGACTTTATCATGTAAACTTGTATTGTAAGTTAGAGGAATAGAGACCGAGCCGGACACCTCTATGATCCGGCCTCGGGACTCTGTAAACCGGCGGGCGTCAACCTATGTATATAAAGGGACAACCCGGCCACGGTTTGAGGACAGAAAACAACAACTCGAGAGCCAGTCAAAGCGGATTCGCTCCCTGGTCATTGAAACCCTAGCAATACCAATCACAACTAGACGTAGGCTTTTACCTTCATCGAAGGGGCCGAACTAGTATAAACTCCCCGTGTCCCCTTGTCCGGTTTAACCCCTTTAAGCTAACCCGTTGCGATGGCTCCACGACTAAGTCTTTTCACGAGGACATCTGCCGTGACAAACCCACGACAGGAGGTTTGCTCGGTAAGGCTGAAGATGCTCGGTTGTGTCTTCTCGGCCAGTGTGGGAAGGCTGGGCAATGCGGGCCTGGGCGGCGATGCTGGGCAGCAGGGAGACTTGAGAATGGGAACAGTAAAGGAGACGAGTTTTCATGCATGCCTCTTTTTTTTAAGGAAAGGAGAGTGTGTGTTCTCTCCGTACAGGAAGTGTTTGTTTTGGACCAAGCTTAAAAATAATAAAAAATGTCTTCCCAACCAAACGACAAACTCTATCTAAAAAAATCAACATTTCCCTAAAAAAAATCAGTATTAACATATTTCTCTTAACATGCAATCATGTATCTAAATACTTTTATATTTCTTTACGGAGGGAGTAATCGTTTTCCTAACACTTCTCAAGTAGTCCGCCTCAACATACAACCATTCACAGGACTCCCCAATCAGAATAGGTGAGTACTCCATTAATTTTGATATATATTAATACTAGCCAACATCTATGCATTTCCTTACCATAGTTTAAGGGCAGCTCAATGCATTATATATCTCAAGCTATATCTAATGCCATTAAATAGATGTTTACATATGGCAGTGCGAGTGCACTATCTTTTAGTGTTGTATATCTAGAACAACTCTCATTTAATGCCTTCTGCGAGAGAAAAGCTATCATATGTCTTGGATTTGATGCTAATTATGTATCTAGATTGATCTATCTTTCCTCATTAAATAGGATGTCACATCATATATATTTTTACCTATAAAAACATGCTAAAATAAAAGCATTGGAAGTGTCCTAAAGCTCCCAATAAAAGTATTATTGATAGTATTATACGCAGGTCCGTCCATAAGCATGTGCGAACGGTGCAACGGCACAGGACCCCCGCTTTCTACGCGCCCCACATTTAGTCAATCTCTCTTGGTATTTTTCTTACTGGGCTTTTATTTTCTTCTCTCCAGCCCGCTACACACATGGGCACGAAAGTTTAGCCTCATAGAAAGGAACAAACCAATCTCTGTTTCAATTCCTTCGCTTTGTTTCCCTAGTCGGCGTCGGGCCGTCCGCTGCCTGCAAATCTAACGCCGTATACTGCACACCGCTACGCTCCGGCCAGCGCCAAGGATGCATGGCAGGCACATCCGTGATGAGGGCCAGTGGAATCACCATCAATCATCAGAAAAGTTGCTCACCGGATCACCATCTCCATTTAGGTTAATTGAAACCCTATTTGATTTTGGTTTTGTTTCTCTGTTGGGTGATTATATCGGTGATGATTAATTGAGTGAATCAATTTATTTTGGCCTTTTATTTGTACGCACGTGTGTAT